AGCCAAGTGTTCTTATCCATAACAAGTATCTGGCCACCTTTGTCGGCCTTTAAAATGTAATATCCGGGTTAGAATGAATTTCATGCATTGTAGCTCTTTCTCTCGCAGTTAGATTTGGTTTAAAAGGTTTATTATTGAATTTCACATTATGAGCGATAAGATACCTAATCATTTCTTTCTGAGAATCTGAAACTTTACTGAACTTGGAAGCTTTTTCGATAGGAGCCAAAATCTTTGGAATCAAGGGTTTACAGGTTTGTGAGAAGTTAAAATTATATTTTAGAATTCTCTCTTGTTCTTCTGATAAACTAACATTAGAAATATTAACTATTGGCTTAATGCTTACAATGGGAAGATTTCTTGAACTACTTGAACTGGAAGACTGTAAAAGAAGTTTTTCGAATTTAACTGCAAGGGTGTTTTTACGATAGTTAACTGCTTTCTCCGTTTTAGACCAAGACTTTTGTTCAAGGGCAGTGAATTTTGGATATGAATTAGCGAGTTCCAGATGAAGCTTATAGAGCTCATGTTAAATTTTTGGCAATTGTTGACGTGTATCCCTTATAATGGACTGAAGTAAGGCAAGCTTGCAGTTTAACAGAATTCTTGAAATGTGACTGGAAGGTTTTTGATTAGATTTGAATGAAATTGAGGATCAATTTTTTTACATTTACACTTAAGTAAAAAGTCAAGATGATTTGAAAAACTTCTTTTACAGTCTTCCAGTACAGTCTTCTTTTAGCTGCATATTACGAAATTATCGATAACTTCCTATTGGTAAAACTGGATATTATGGTCCAGTTTGGCAAGTTTTCAAAAAATTGTCAAGTCGGTCATTTTCGAAAATTGCTAACTCATCATATCGCCATACTAGATAGTCGCGAATTTTAATTAATTCTGTTAACATGTAAAAAATATCTAAAACAGGACTTCAAAAAACAACGAAAAAGGGGGAAATGCAGAATATGCTTGGCGGGTTTTTAAGAATTGCACATACTCAGTATCCATGTACACATGGACCGATTTTCACTTTAAAAAACCTCCCAGAATTGCACAAAAATGGCATTGTGCACTCCCTTCACTTTATCCATGTACACATCGACCTATTTTCACTTAAGTCAAATAAAATTGACAGAAAAAAATACTTCTTACTCTTGCAAACGCCAAACAAATAAGTGGGCGATTCTGCACTTTAACTAAAGTTTTTGAAAGTTAATAACTATTTATTTTATAGGATCAACAATATTAAAAGTTTTCATATCATATACTACTTTTATGACAGTAGCAAAATGGAGTAAAGCGTTTTATCACGAAATTTAAGCAATTGTTATAAGCAGTAAATGAGCAATAAATGACCGGAAAGCATTGATTCCTATTTAATCCACGAGGTTACCAGATTTGTCGCGATTTCGGTTACCAGATTCGCGATTGGCGACTGGACCGTAATCTCCAGTCTAGCCTCTCCTATTGTATTCAAAAGTTACCAACGCAAATAATGAGCCAAAGGCCGTCACCCCAAAGAGTTTGACACTTAGCGTCTTGCAGGAGTTACATGATGCAGACTTCTGGTCATCTCGGCATTACAGAGACAATTAAATGTCCACCAGAGGCGGAATTGTTTCCAAAATTACAAGAAATTGTTACAGAGTATGTCAGGTCCTGCCATATCTGCCAAATAGTTACATGCTAACTACCGGCCAGCCGGATACCTAAATAGCATTCAGGCTACTTTCACCAATGTTTCTTAGTGACATTAACATTAGAATCAGAACCTGTGTCATGAAATATTAAATACAAAGCTCTTATAAATTATCTTACCAACTTCATAATAAAAACTGTTTAGCTCAAAAACCGTCTTTAATAATTTAAACGTATTTCATTTAGTTCACAATTCTACAGATAAATCAAAACAACTTTCGCACGAAGAAAAGTTTTGTTTCGCATCCCTTAAGTCTTTCTGCCCGCAAAGCAAAAAATCAACTTAGGTGCGAATAAAAACACAATGGAAAAATAGCAATTTGACGTGAATTGCGAAATTTTATTTATAAAGTGAGATAAAAATTCAGTTTAACAAATCAAATCAAATAAATAAATCTAGACTTCGTAAAAATTCACAGATAGACAAAATAGACAGAAGTAGGTTCCTCCTTGACTTCTGTAGTCTTTCTTTGCATTCACTAAGTCTTTCTGCCCCTAGAGTAAAAGTTTATTGTTCAGTTATGGTTGTGTTTAACAATCATTATACTTTCTTTTATCTTCCTAGTGACGAACACTATCCATTATGGACGCTGATCATTACTAAGGCCGGAAGCGGTGGTCACTTTATTGTGGAAGCGCCTATTAGATGGGCCGCCATTGCCTCCTATGAAGGGATTGACTATTTACGTCTATGCCTTCTCTGGATTGGAACCTGGGCCCTTAGGCACGGCAATAAGCGACTGCCGTGACTATACCTTCAGTAACCACTTTACCTACACCACCACAGTATCTCTATAAACTATTTAGAGACAAATATTTCATAAAATATAAATGAAAAGGATACTTATTTAGAAATTTTATAACCCATATTTTATATATTTCATATAATCATTTATTAGTCGCCCAGACGGTATAGTGGTTAAGTGAGCCTACTACGGTGCCGAAGGGCCAGGGCTCTAATCCCGGAGAAGACAGGGATGTTTGTAAATACTCTGGTGTGCAAAAATTAAGGACGAGACGGTTTTTTTCAATATAACTTTGCACAAAAGCTTTCCAAATCAACACATTTAATACCGTAGGATCCCCAATACGTAAGGACATGAGTAATGTAAGCAACACTTACTAAAAGAGAATTTAGAGGGATAAAAAGAAGCTTTATTGAAAAAGTAGCATGGAGCGCAAGGCCGAAACATCCCTGTGATGGGTGTCCAGCAAGAAACATCCTGCCTTTAATAGGGGATATAATCTCCCCTGACTGCTAGGCAGGTTTCATAGCGTCTGCCCATGCTGAGAATGAGGGTGTCAATGAGTTGTTGAGGCATTGCTGCCCATTCGTCTTGCAGCGCCAATCGAAGCTCCGGAATCCTTACTGGTGGTAAGGTACGAGCTGCCAAGCGTCTGCCTAGAAAATCCCATACATGCTCGATGGGATTGAGATCCGGATATCGTGCCGGCCAATCCATACGTTCAATATCCTCACTCTCTAAGAGCTGTTCGGCAGCGCAGCTACTGTGCGATGACATGGTGCATTGTCGTCCATGAAAAGGAACTGCGGACCCATAGCGCCTCTAAAAAGAAGCACACATGGAAGAAAAATCTCGTTACAAAAACGGTCCCGTTGACTGAACCTGCGTCGAAGATGTGAAGGTCTGTACGACTACCAAGCATGATGCCTCCCCAAACGAGAACACCGCCACCTCCATACCTGTCCCTTTCAATGATGTTCGAGGGATGATTGCGGCTTCCCCGCTCTCTCCAGATAAGAATGCGATGAGAATCGCTACTCAGACTGAATCTGCTCTCATCTGTAAAGAGTACTCGTCCCCATTCATTGTCTCTCCAATTCCGGTGTTCCTGGCACCACAGAGAACGCCTTCTCCGATTGGCAGCGTTAGAGGTACACACCGTACAGGGCGTCGTGCAAACAGACCACCACCGTGTAGTCTTCTGGCAACGGTAAAACGCGATATCGGTCGTCCAGTCGCCTGTGTCGTGTGTCTAGCAATTTCTCCCGCTGTCTGCCGCCTGTTTCTTCTGGCCTGTAAGGCAATATACCGGTCATCTGCGGGTGTGGTTCCTCGTGGACTACCACTACTAAACCTCCGGATAGCTGTTCCTGTAGTTTGAAATTATCTCCAAAGTCGTAAAACGATGCTGTGAGCAATTCCGAACTCTGCAGCCACACTTGACACACTGCGGCCTTCCTCCAACTTCCCAATGATTCGACCTCTGGTAAAAGCATTCAGATGTCGTTTAACAGATTGATTATTCGCCATTCCTCGCTGAGGCAGCAACTCGGTGTAATTTTAACTGCTATACGGCGTGCAATCTCTTTGCCAGAAATACTGATCTTACACCGACAACATGCTTTATACTACTCAGACACTCCCCCATTACGTCTACCTGCATATCTGCGCATGTGCTACCGTACATCACCTTACTTAATCTCCTGATTGGTCTTTCTGTCCGCTCTGCCTCTTTGTTCAGCTGATATGCTAATTTTTCGACTTCGTCCTTAATTTTTGCACACCAGTGTATATAGTGTCTATGCGGCATGGCGGCATTCTAAATATGCGGCGAGCGGTAAGTCCTCTCGTGTGAATTGGTGGAAGGGGAGAGGGGTTGGATGCTCTTCCTCAAAATTTGGAATGGGGAATAGAAGTTCAACCTCTCTTCGGCTCTAGCAATCATTGTTCCATGTAATATGGAAAAGACAACAACCATTTATTAAAGAATGCAATTTGTACATCTTAGGACTTTCCACTTTCAGAAAATAAATTTGTATTAAATTCAAGTGATCACTCGCAAGTCACATTCAAGTGATCACATTCAAATGAAAGTTCACATTCAAGTTCTTCTTGAAATAAGAATACCTAACACATTTAAGTAAGACTATCTAAATAAGAATTCCTAACACGTTTAATTTTTTAAACATCTTCTATGTGCCTAAAATTAGCTTATTCCGTCAAATTATGTAACTGACTAGTAACCGCAGTTAAAATTTTTAATTTTTTAAATTTATTATTGTTAGTTTAAGTTTTTAATATTTAATAAATATATCCTTTTTCAACAAAAAATCCATAAAATATGCTGGAGGATTTTATAAGTGTAACATGTGTTACTTTGCTTGATCACCTACGAAAACTAATGATTTGTTAATTTTTTCAATGAAAGCATTTAACTCAAAACTGTAACATATTTACGTTTACCTAACATATTTTTTATTGTAATTTAATTTTAAAGTATTTATCAAACAATGTTTCAGATATGTTATTTTGCCGACACATGGACCAATCGCACAAAGCCACGATTGTTATACATTCAAAGCAATGAAATATGTGAACGCTACACGGATGAACTGAGTGGCGTTGCTGATAGGTACCTTTAAATGCCGGTTTGAATCATTTTAAGTGCAATTTAAAATTAGGAAAGTAATTTGATCTAAAAATCATGTATTTAGCTGGTAAGATGAATGTTTTCGTTAGTATGCATTCGTTTTTCTTAGTTTTAATGTACTATAGTGAATTTAATTGATGATTGAAAAATTTTCTATTTTCTGTTAAATATCTTAAGATACTCGAATATTTTTCACTTTCTTTTAGTTCTGCTTATTTGTCAAGTATTTCTAAGTTTTGCATCGGCTTTTTATGAAAACAATAAGGACATTACAGAACTAAATCCATCTACTTTCAATTCCCAAGTTATTGAAAGCGATGAGATATGGATTGTCGAATTTTATGCTCCATGGTAAGTCATTTCACTTAAAGATAGTATACGATTTTTGATATTTGCATATATAAATATGTCAAAATAATTCTTAACGTATAATTCTGTAACTATGTTTTATAAAGCAAGAATTTTTAATGTGTGTGTTGTGACTGTTTTCTCTTTGATAAATATTTTTGTCTATAGTTGCTCATGAACGGTTTATTCAACCAAAATTTTCAAGTCTTGAATATTTTGTTTAAATATTTTAAAAACTTGTTTCAAGGCAATAATTGGTCGTAAACATAGTTCATAGTAAGAAATATACAAGAAGATTATTATAGCATATGGTATGTTGATTAATGTACAAATGTATTTAAATAATTTATTCTAGAAGCTAAGTATTGTATGGTAATTTTAGCTTACCACTAACAGCTTGATTGGCTATGTAAAAATTATTTATTCTTTGATCTGGCATTAATGAAGAAAAATGCATGACTTATTTTTCTTCATTAAAGTTTGGAATAAAATGTTATTAATTTAATTGAGTAAGTTCTTGGTGATTTAAGTTTCTCTAACTATTGAAATAGCTGTTTTAATTATGAATCCTATAAATGTAATATCATAAGGTAAAGTTAATCAACCTAATTTTTGTTCCAAGTATGTACAACAAAAAGTTTAATATGTTTTTATGTGCAAAATTAGAGCAGACTTTCCATATGATGAATTATATTCTTGTAAAATACTGATATTTTCTTTGAATAAAGCAATGCGTTATTACTTGTTATTTATTTTAAGCTTGAATGTTTAGATATCAATCCCATCTACAGCCTCTAGTAGGTTGTATTTGGAAAATTGTATTCTTTTGATATGAAGCCTGAACTTCTGAAAATATTAGTGTTTATAAATTTAATTATGTTAGTTGTATGCATAGAAATTTAAAAGTTAAAAGTATGTACTTGTTCATTATTATAGCAAATTATCTATTATTTATATGCAGCTCAATTTGATTAGAAACATGTAGTAAATAACTGTCTAAGAAACGATTTTCATTTAGATGAAAGATTAATTTCATATGTTACATTTTTATCACAGTCTGTAAATAAATAAAATGGGTTTTCATCCGCAAAGAACCCGTTGGCGCTTCGGGAAAGAACCCGTTGGCGGCGTTTCATTTTTACTCGCCAAGCTCGCGGTTCACCGATGATGAGCCGATCCGTAAACGTGATTTTTAGTGCGTGTAAATTCAAGTTAATATTAAGCATATTGTACTAAGAATTCACAGATAATACGCATGTAGATGTATAACTAACCGGTTAAACGTGATATACGAAAATAAATTTGTATTAAATTCAAGTTTACACAGAAAAGAATATATTAAGCATAAGACAATATATAAGCATTTATAACAGAAATAAAAATTCATTTAAAAAATGTAAATTAGTATTAATGTACTGAAATTAACTGGTTAAACGTGATAAACGATAAAATTTCTGGCTAATCTTTGGAATATGGTAACAGGTAGTTTGGTGACATTTTGGTAGGCGATAAAGGTTACTACCTAGGACTATGGGAATAATGTGAGAAGTACTCAGTTTCGATTACTCATTATTTTGTGTGAGGGAAATGAGAGATCATGAGATATGTCATGTGACATTAATGGACGAATTACAGTTAGTTCTTTAATCGGAAAAGGGAGGAAATCTGGAAAATTTTGTATTTAGCTTTATTCTGTGTTGTGTGAAACAGTGTTGGTTAATTTTTGGATCCCATGGCCCTATCTAAAGTGAATTCGAAATGGGGTATTTAGTGGGATTGAAAGGGGTAGTAATAAGTGTTTTTTTAAGGTTGTGCAAGATAGAAGTAAAGATTGCTTATTAAGTTTTATTAAGTCTGTTTGGAGGATGAAGGTTTTCAACATCTTGCTGTGAAGTATGATTTTAAAGATCCTGAAACAGGTGCACATACGATTGCTTTTTATTTAGCGGAGGAAATAAAAAAAGTTTATCTGCCACGTAATCAAGATTCAGAAGAAGATTAGGTAAATTAGTATTTTTAATTATTTGAGGATATTATTTTTATGCATTGTTCTAAATGTAAGGAGTAAAAGTAATATGGTATTATTGGAAAATTGTTATCAGCAATGATTTAGTTTAAAGTAATTAGGATTGTAAGCTAATTTTTATTAATTTAATGTATGTGCTTATTTATATTTTAAGTAGTGTTTTTTTAATTTAATTATATTTTAATTAAATGATAGTTATTTTGTGAATTATATGTTTGTAGGAATTTGGTATATGTTTCAGTGGCAGTAAACGTGCATGGAAATAATTTAAGTATTTGCAACCATTTTTAATGTTTGCGTTATGAATTTGTTGGTGACGTTTATAATATAATAGATAATTTAGAGGTAAACGTTTTTGGATATTTTATTTATTTTATACATGCAAATGTTCATCCTTGGAAAGGGTATATACTTTTTTGCGATTAGGTAATTTCATATATGTCCTTTTTACTGGATTTAAAGATTCACAAAATTTTCATGCATTTTCGTGAAATTTTTGTAATTTATGAGAAAAAAGCAGTGTACATGGATTTAGTGAAGAGTGTGCGCAATGCCATTTTTGTGCAATTCTGGGATGTTTAAGTAAAAATAAGTCGACATGTACATGATTTAGTTATATTTTAATTAAATGGTAGTTATTTTGTGAATTTTATGTTTTTAGCAATTTAGTATACGTTTCAGTTGAAGTAAACGTGCATGGAAATAATTTAAATATTTGACACTAAGTATTTGTAACCATTTATAATGTTTGCGGTATAAATTCGTTGGTGACGTTTATAATATAATAGATAATTTAGAGGTAAAAGTTTTTGGATATTTTATTTATTTTATACGTGCAAATGTTCATCCTTGGAAAGAGTATATACTTTTTCGCGATCAGGTAATTTCATATATGTGCTTTTTAGCGAGTTTAAAGATTTACAAAATTTTCATGCATTTTCGTGAAATTTTGTAATTTATGAGAAAAAAGCAGTGTACATGGATATAGTGAAGAGTGTGCGCAATGCCATTTTTGTGCAATTCTGGGATGTTTTTTAAGTAAAAATAAGTCGACATGTACATGGTTTAGTTATATTTTAATTAAATGATAGTTATTTTGTGAATTTTATGTTTGTAGCAATTTGGTATACGTTTCAGTTGAAGTAAACGAGCGTGGAAATCATTTAAATATTTGACACTAAGTATTTGTAACCATTTTTAATGTTTGCGGTATAAATTCATTGGTGATGTTTATAATATAATAGATAATTTAGAGGTAAAAGTTTTTGGATATTTATTTTATACGTGGAAATGTTCATCCTTGGAAAGGGTATATACTTTTTCACGATCAGATAATTTCATAAATGTGCTTTTTAGCGAGTTTAAAGATTCACAAAATTTTCATGCATTTTCGTGCAAATTTTTGTAATTTATGAGAAAATAACAATATAGATGGATAAAGTTAAGAGTGCGTGCAATGCCATTTTTGTGCAATTCTGGGATTTTTTTTAAGTAAAAATAAGTCGATGTGTACATGGTTTATGTGTATGTGCGATTCTGAAAAACGTGGCAAGGAGTTTGCGATTCTGCACTTTTTCCCAATTTTGCAGTTAATATTTGTAATGATTAAGGAGTTTTGTTCCATAAAATTTCGGAACTACTCCGATATGAGCCCTCAAGTCGCCAAATTTCTCGCCAAATATTTTTGGTGAAAACTTCATGCTGCCATATTACTATCTAAATTTTTTGTCTACATTTTGAACTTTTAGCCTAAAATGTCTCCAAAAATGCGGTTTTCGCACATGCAAAAAAAACTACGTTTTTTTGAACACACAATTTAGCTAAAAATCCGAAACAAAAGCAAAAAATTTAGATAGCAAAAACGTAAAGTTTCTAACCAAAAATATTTGACAAGAATCCATGTACACAGCGACATGTTTTAACTTAAAAAAATATCTACGAATTGCACAATGTAGGCAACGAACAAATCTACAAACTACGCACACCTCGCTTTAATAAATTAACATAACAACAACAAATTTCAAAGAATACCATGTACACAGCATCGTGTTTAAACTTTAAAAAAATTCTACGAATTGCACAATTTAGGCAAGAAAGGAATCTACGATCTACGCACTCCTCGCTTTAATAAAATAACATAACAACAATAAATTTCAAATAATACCATGTACACAGCGTTCTGTTTTCAACTTAAAAACATCTAAGAATTGTACAGTCTAGGACACTAAACAACAAAATAAACTAAAATAAATTTCAAACAATTTAAAAAACAACAATAACGACAGAAATTCATACTAAAGAACCAATGAACATAAACATTCTACAAATAAGAACAAGGATAAAATAAAATGCACTTACCATAATTAATGCGTTTTCGAATAGCAGAAATATAAATTTCATACCGGCTTTAACATGCCGCCACGTAATCACTATTGTATTTACATGGCAGCCAGACACACTATCCAGAAAATTTATACTATGGTTCACAAATAAATAAAATCACAAATCCCTACTTCTATCATGCACTGCCATTAAAAATAATCTCTCAGACCCTCTTTCCACACTTCCAAATATCCACTACCCCTCAAGAGGATAGCCACAATTCATATTTCCTTTTGCCGAACTTCAATTCAACAACTACCATTTTATCTTTCCCTCCCATCTTCTCAGACACAGAGGCGAACCAACGAGCTCCAGCGAAAGATTTTTCAACGTCAACAGGGTTGCCATAGAACACGCAATCGTGCCAAAAACCAGCGCAGAACACATATCGCCACATTTGGTGAAATTAGGGCATATATTAGAGTTGTACCAAAATTTCTAGCATAAGTGTAATTTGGATAGCAGATTGTTGTAAACGTGTTCAGTAAATAAAAAGAAAAGAAACATGTCTTTACTTTGTGAAGACAAAATGGCGGCGAAAAAAAAAAGAGGGTTGCTGTAGCAGAGTTGGTCGCCAAAAAATCGCCAAGTTACT